TATTTTTTTTAATGTTTGTTTTCCCTCTAAAAGTGGAGGGAAAGGAGGTTTTTTTTTTTTGTTCCTTTGAAACGAATGGTAGTTCAGTACGCATCTCAAAAGATAATATATTTTTGTACTTTTTGTTTACAATTAATTTCTTTGAAACGAATGAACCCCAAGATGGAATATTGATGGATGATTATTTTAGTATTACTACAAGCTTGAAAGACATATTTATTTGATACTTTTAAAAAACTTTCTTATATAAAGTTTTTTATACGAAAAACATGTTAAGTTGTTTGGGAAACGTGTCTATAGATAATGAGAAAATAGCTTAGGTGTAGCTCAATCAAACTTAGCCTTATAACAATAGAAAATACAACAAATGCCATTGATGAACGCTCTACTTTAAACAATACAACGATAAAGACAACTTTCAAAAAATATCATTGTACAAGCCAACTTATCATATAAATACTATCATTAGGGTCATCATCCATTTATTGCAAGAAATATAAGGGCATGTACAGCCGTCTTTATTAGTAGTCTCTCTATTGCCATGCAAGTAAATTTGATGACATGGAAGAAAGAGAAAGGACAAAAGAGAAATATGGTTGTTATGCATGACAACGGCTCAGAGTCGACTCTTAACATTTATTAGAGTAATTTTTGTTGCATGGTGGTGAAAGAAAGGAAAGAAGAGTAAGGAAAAAATATTTTGATACACTAATGATTAGAGATCATATTGTCTCCAACTGTTGTAGGATGCTAGTCTCTAAATAACGTAGAGCTCATGTCTGACTCTAGCTTTGTACATGGCCTAAGAAGCTATGTTAACTACTACCTCCGTTTTTTAATAGATGACGTCGTTGACTTTTTCTCACATGTTTGACCATTCATCTTTTTAAAAAAATTTACGTAATTATAATTTATTTTGTTATGAGTTGTTTTATCATTCATAGTACTTTAAGTGTGATTTATATCTTATACATTTGCATAAAATTTTTGAATAAGACGAATGGTCAAACATACGAGAAAAAGTCAACGGTGTCATCTATTAAAAAAAGGAAGGAGTATTATATTAGTTAACTGTATAGACTTTTAGTATATACGACCCTCGGTAATTGGTTTTTGATTCTCTATTAATTGGTACTCCCTCCGGTTTCATTTTAATTGATGCTTTGGATAATGACACGCTCTACGAGATATACCTTTGACCTTATTTTTCTATTATAATATATGCAATAAATAAATGCATGTTTACTTTTATTATAGTGTTTTGAAAGACAAATCTATATATGTTTTTCTAGTTTTTTTAAACTAAATATTTTTAAAGTTATTGATGGTCAAAGTTATAAAAGTTTAACGACAACCTTGTCCAAAACGTCAATTAATATAGAACCAGAGGAAGTATTGGTATTGCTGTATCGAAACAACTAGCTACTCATAAATTTTATAGCAAAGTTTTACCACATTTTAATGCCATATTAAATTTTTAAAATAAGTTTTTGGACAAGATATTTACCATTTTCGCTGAACAAAATAGTACAAGATATTGAGAAGAATCAAATTAATCCTTCCGAAGATTTAATTTTAGGTGGTGGTATCATGTCATTCGAACCCAATAATTCTTGGGTTTGTTGGAACCATGCCACCCTAATTTTGCAAAATTTGAGATATGCCACCCGTATCTCAATGACATGTAGGACCCATATGAGTCAATGACATGTGGGTTAGGGTGGCATATCACAAATTTTGCAAAATTTGCGTGGCATGGTTCAAATTTTCCCATAATTTCTAGTGGCTTGCTCCTGACAAATACAGCTTTCTGGCAGCTCTTTTTTATTTACCTACGTGACCGTGTAAGTTAATATAAAGTGCTATTTATCAATGAGCAACAAATAGCTAAAAATCTAGCCACTATTTATAGGGTGGTTATGGTGCATAGATAGCCGCCACTACTTAAAAAAGGTTTTTTTTTTCTTGGCGGACAGAGGTGCCTCCAATGCCTAAAGGTAGGGGTGAAAACAGAGCGGATTCGGACGGTCATACCATATCTTAAACCATATTTTTAAGCGGATTCGAAGCGGGTGCGGATAGTGTACGGACGCGGATGCGGAACGGATTATTTTGGATGTCGGAAATGGTGCGGAATCAGTTCGGGAATGGAATAAATTTATCGGATGTTACGTGTGTATGCAACCAATATAATATCAAGTTAGTAATGCAATGAACAATAATATAATAATCAATAAACGATCCATCGTAATAATTATATGCTTAAGTGCCAAACAACATGAATATGAGGTCCATAATATAAAAATACAGCTAGGCAAGTCTGACAAGAAACGGTGAAAGCCTCAGACTAAGAAATCTAGGTTAATTGATGAATTAGATCATTGAAGGAACCAATTTATGTTATATGCAATAGATAGAGATATCACATATGTTGATAATTTCGGATTATCCGGAAAGTGGCCTATCAGATAATCCGACATAAATATCAGATAATCCGCATTCACCGGATTTTAGAGATACCATATCCGCATCCGCATCCACATTATACTATCCGCATCCACATTCATATCTACCGGATTTCGAAAAGCCCATACCATATCCTCGTTTCAGAGCGATTCGGAGCGGATCGGGTCGGATATTATCCGATAAGTTTTCACCCCTACCTAAAGGCTAGTGAAAATAATGTGTTTTCACTAGTGGCCAGCTGGCCGCTTGGAAAAATTGAGTTACGCAAGCAGCTATGCTAAGACAACTGCTACCAAAAATAGTAATTTGGCTAGCGGCAAAATAAAGTGCACCGCCAGTGAAAACAATTTTGGGATAAAAAAAATTCAAAATGTTGCCACTGGCCGCCACATCCATAAGCACCACCGGCGGCCATCGCGACACCTCACCATGGGCGCCGCCTGCCGAAGTCCACGCCGTGGTCGCCAGGCAGTAGAGGGGAGTGGGTTGGAGTCGCGGTAGCCGTTGTCATCATCATCACGGTAACCGTCATTGTCATCACGGGAGCAGCTGTCGTCGTTGTGCCAGCCGCCGCCGGATCCACCTCCTTCACCGCCAAGGAGGGCCGCCCAAGCACCGACGCCGTCAGATCCGCGCCCACCCTCCCGCCACCATCGCCGCCCTCCCTGTTGGCCTCCCCCGTCATCACGGCAGCTAGCGGATCCCGCCTCCCCGTCGTCGCGGCGGCGGATCCGGCCTCCACGTCGTCGCGGTGGCGGATCCAACCTCCACCGTCGTCACGGCGGTGGATCCGGTCTCCCCCGTCATCAGGGTGGCAGATCCGGCCACCTCCGTCGTCGCAGTAGCGGATCCGGCCTCCCCCATTCTCGTGGCGGTGGATGCGGCCTCCCCCGTCGTCGCGGCAGTGGTTCCAGCCTCCCCTCTGGTCGGGCGGCATATCTGGCCCCGAGCATATGGCGCGGCGAAGAGGAGGAGGTCGTGCCCCGCCGCCGTGAAGAGGAGAAGACTGCGCGCCGCTCGCCGGCCACCCATCACCGCGCCAACCCCGGAGCGCCGCTGCTTGCCAAGGAGGAGGAGATGGAGAAGGGAGGAGGAGGCCGGTGAGGAGAAGGAGGAGGAGTTGCCACTGCTCGCCGAGGAGGAGTAGGAGGAGGAGAGGGAGAAGGGAGGAGGAGGAGAGGAGTTATCGCTAAGGCGTTGAGTCTGGGGGGAGGAGGAGATAAAGATGGATTCGTCGCAGTTGGTGGTTATTTTAATATAGCAAAAGTATTTTTGCAGTCGGTGGTCCTTGACAACCGCAGGGAAAATTGTATTTTCACTAGCGGTCGGTAACCGGAATCCCTCTCAATTATTTTCACAAGCGCTTTTTTATCAAACCCGCCAGTAAAAGGAAAAGGGTAACACTATGAAAAATGATTTTTCTATAGTAGTGCGCGGTCTAAACACGTCAATTATATATGGCAAACTGTTTTTAATCCCTCGAGGGGATGTCCTCTGGTTTATTTTTATTTACATGTCATCCAAATAGTTATGAAAAAAAATCACAATATAGTTTAGTATGTAATATATCAATTAATAAACATGTAAGCTTAAATTTAACTTCTACAAGATGAAAAAAGAGGAAATATCCATTTCCAATCCCATCCTAATATATCCCTAAATTGTCTGAATATAGTATATATACTGATCTGGTGGTGTACACACATCAAATTAAACAAGGGCATGTACAACTGCATTCAATTAATGGGATAAGCACAATCAGAAATGAGTGGTGATTAACATAATCGACGCCCATACGTTTGTCATAATTAAAAAATACAGCTATACTAACATTTTCAATTAAAAAATATGTTGATTTTCTATTACAACTTCAACCGGCGGTATTGGTACTTGGCTACTTGCTATCTATTTGCGATCTATTTTGCTATCTAGCCTCTTTGATCGTCGTACCCATGTGTTTTTAGTTAAAAAAAATCATAAACAAGTTACAATATTAAATAAAAGAATTAATACTTAGTGATGATGATTTATTTATAGTACAGTTGAGGGCGGATAGTCTTTTATTATATACAGGACAACTCCAACCTGTCATATTTGTCAAACGGACGTGCTCTATATCCTTTAAAAAGAAATACTGTGCTAATTCGAACATATATATTTTTGGCTGTGTATAGTACATCCAATTTAAGAGGTAAGTAGAGTCTGAATTTTAATCCATTTTTTATTAAAAAGCCGAACAAATATATATTTTTTCACTACATTAGCTTTTGCTTCGAAGTGCGCGTGCTATATATATATATATATATATATATATATATATATATATATATATATATATATATATATATATATATATATATATATATATATATATAATTGCGCCCATTTCTTTCCTCCAGCATCTCCTCAGTTCACGTTGGTCTCGTGGCACATCGGATCACTGGCCGGAGGCAACAACATTGATCGGCGAGATGGACGGCGGCGGCGGCGAGACCTACGGGTGCGGCGGCGGACGGCGGGAGGGCGGCTGGGCGTGGGCGGCGGCGGCGGCGGACAGCGTGTTCTCGCGGTCGTCGTCGTCAGCGAGGGAGGACGACGAGGAGGACCTGCGGTGGGCGGCGCTGGAGAAGCTGCCGACCTACGACCGAGCACGGACGGCGCTGCTGGCCTTGCCGCCGGACGGCGAGCTGCGGGAGGTGAACGTGCGGCGGCTCGCCGCCGACGAGCAGCGCGCGCTGCTGGAGCGCGTCGCGGGCGTCGCTGACGACCACGCGGGCTTCCTCTGCATGTTCAAGGAACGTTTGGATCGGTAAGGCCAAATTAATCGATTAGTACCACCAACCGCGGTACTATAAAGATTATAAAGTCACGAACGTTTTTTTAACCGGGACTACAAATGAATTTTTATATGTTCTACTTTTTAATCGGGACTATAAATAAATTTTTTATGTCCTGGCTTCAATTTAAATCGAAATTAATGTGATTTTTACATTACCCATAAAGATCACTTCTCTGGTAGCAATCATTTTTATACGGGTGATCAGTCAGAGGAGTGCTCACGCGTGTAGCCGAGCTCTATCGTGCGCGGTTTCTCTGCTATTTTTTGCGATTACGTACACGACGTTGAACACACCCCACACACACCAACACGTACCGTTTCCCCGTAAATTATATGCGCTCAAGGACTATATGTAGTTTTGAAAATTTAAATTTGGTGGTATATTTTTGAAATTGTGTTGCAGGTTGCACCGTACTTGTACTTTTAGGAATTAAACAGTACCAAAAGTGATGATCCGATCCATAGCACGGAATTTTTTTAAAATAAACTTATGAGTGTATCTTGTAAGGTAATTCAATGATTAATTTTCATGTAGTCAGTTCATATGCTTCTATATTTATTTGGTCATCTCCACAGGTGCAGTATATTTTGGATAGAAAAAAAGTTAAAGTAAATTCCACTTTATGCCACCTTGTATTACCGTTTGTTTTGCTTTGGATCTGTTATTACTTTGGATTAGTCCCAACTATTTTATCCATCTACATTCGATTTATTGTGTGTCAAATAAATGGTCTACATTCCCCAAAAAAAAAAAAAGAAATAGTCTACATACAGTTGTGGAAGTTTATTGACAAGTAAAAACCAACGTATTGGAGATTGTTCATATGCTTGAGAAGAGAGTCGGGATGGTCCAATGTGAACCAAAGGCAACAATATCCGGTCCAAAGTGAAAACATTGATGAAAGGCAATCTAAAGCAAAACATCGGTAATAAGAGGTGACCCAAAGTGAAATTTACTTTATAAAAACATATCCTTTTGTGTTCCTATATTTTTTTAAAATCGATAATTAAGACCAAGATGATCCATGTTAAATTAATTTTGAAACTTTTATTTCCAATCCTCAATTGGAAAATGTTTCCTTTTGTTTTTTTAGATAATGGAATATAACATCCCGGCCTTTCTTCAAAAAGAGCTACAGCCAATTATTACGAAGTAGCACCCTAGAAAAGAGTGTAGTTCAGATAAAAAGAACACACAAAACAAAAACAAAGGAACCCAAGCCAAAATAAGGAGAACACATTTATTGAAGTCTACTTGTGAACCTCCACCTATGATTGGCAAATAGTTGAATAACCATCGACTCCAACTTGCGGCACGCAACTTTTAGGAACTCCCCATCATCCTCACATCTTTGTAGCTGTGCCCAAAACCGGAGCCAATGCGTTGCCCTGAAATTACTTGCATATAGGAAATAGATGGTGATTTGTCAAAAACCATATCATTTCTACTCAACCATAGAACCAAACAAATGGCAGAAGCTCCAACAAGTATCAGTTTACTCTTTTTCTTGTCAACCCCTAAAAGCCACCCATAAAAAATATGAGATATACTAGTTGGAAGGTTAAAACAAAAAAAAAACTGAACTGCTCTTCATATGAACTTTGCATAATGACAATCCATAAACAGATGTTGAATAGACTCATTTTTCATACAAAAGCAACACCTTAAGCTACCATTCCAATTCCGTCTTGCCAAATTATCCTTGGTTAACACAACCCTCTTAAGCAAGTACCACATAAAGATCTTAATCTTAAGCGTCATCTTAAGTTTCCAAATATAGTTATTCTTCTCAACATAACCATTGTTAATTAAAGCTAGATACATTGACCTTACTGAGAACCTACCATTCTGATGATAATTTCATCTAAAACAGTCAGAAGAAAAATTCAATTGAATATGTACAATAGAAGCACACAATTCATGCCAGTATATAAGATTCTTACCAACTAAAGCTCTTCTAAAAGAAACATTAAGCGGAACAGATCCCATAATAGTGGCAATAGAGGATGATTTCCTTCGGACTATAGCATATAAAGATGGATATTTATCCTTCAAAGCTAAGTTACCTAGCCATTTATCTTACCAAAATCTTATTTGTTCCCCATCATTCACGATACAAGAACCCATATCTAAAAAAATACTTTTGACTTTCATAAGCCATGACCAAAAATAGGAATCACCTTGTTTCTTGTCAACTTAGATTATAGACTTATTATAAAGATACTTCCTCTTCAATAAGTCCTGCCAAACCCCTCCCTCATTTATTTGCTTATACAACCACTTACTCAAAAGTCATTTATTTTGTAATTCCAAGGCCTCCTTGATCCTTAGGTTGGCAAATAATATCCCATCTAGTGAGTCTGTACTTTTTCTTATGATCATCCCCTTGCCGAAAGAAGCATGATCTATAATAATCAATTTTTTGGATAACCCCTTTCGGTATCTCAAAGAAAGATATCATAAACATAGCTAAACTCGAAAGTACAGAATTAATCAAGATCAACCTTCCCCCGACAGATAAATGTTTAACTTTCCAACTACTAATCTTTTTCTCAATTCTTTCTTCAATTACTTTCCAATCTTTATTAGAAAGTTTCCTAAAATGCATTAGAATTCCTAAATACTTAAAAGGAAAAGAACCTAACTTACAACCAAAGATATTGGAATATTGATCATAATACTCCTTTGCCTGACCAAAATAAAATAATTCACTTTTGTGAAAATTTATTTTTAAGCCAGATAGCTTTTCAAAAACAGATAAAATCAATTTCAAATTCTTTGCCTGTTGCAAATTATGTTCCAAAAAGATAATGGTATCATCTGCATATTGCAATATAGACAAACCATCATCCACTAGGTGAGGAATAATCCCTTTTAAGAGACCCACCTCTTTAGCTCTCTTAATTAACAGAGCAAGCATATCAGCTACTATGTCAAAAAGGATTGGTGATAAAGGATACCCTTGCCTAAGACCTTTATATGTTTGAAAATTGTTACCAATTTGATAATTTACTTTTATACCAACATGACCACCTTAAATAAAAGAAGCTATCCACTCACAACATTTAGGCGAGAAGCCCTTCATCCTCAACATCCTCAACATCTGTTGTACAAAGGACCATTTTACTTTATCATAAGCTTTTTCAAAATCAATCTTAAATATTACACCGCTTTTATCTTTATGATGTAATTCATGCATAGTCTCATGTAAAATAACCATTCCTTCCATAATATTCCTACCTAGAATAAAAGCCGTTTGAGTGGGACTAATAACTTTTTGAGCAACCCCCATTATTCTATTCGTTGCAACGTTGGTAAAAATCTTAAAACTAACATTTAGTAAACATATGGGTCTATACTGCTGAATCTTAATGGCATCAACACACTTAGGTAACAAAATTATTGTGCCAAAATTAAGAGAAAACAAAGGTAGAGCACCCTTATGGAAATAATTAGAAAGCTCCAACAGGTCATTTTTAATAACATTTCAAAAAACTTGGTAAAACTCCGCCAGGAAACCATCCGGACATGGTGCTTTATTATGCTCCATATGGAAAATAGCATCCTTAATCTCCTTTTCAGAGAAAGGTTGCGTTAAAGCTTCATTCTCCAACTGAGAAAGGTTTCTTATCAATTCTCCTTTTCAGAGAAATGTTTTCTTTTGTGCAGGGTTGGAATCAAGCTTCCGACTATTGAAGTGCGGTATGAGAACTTAAATGTGGAAGCAGAGTCATATGTTGGCAGCAGAGGTTTTCCCACCATTTTCAATACCTATGCTAACATATTCGAGGTATCTGCATCTACTTTGAGAAAATAACTATGTTAATAATTAAAACACCTGTCCATCTATATGTCGGAGGTCCAAATTATAACAATTTATTTAGATTAAAACAAGCTCCACGCCGAATACAACATGATAGTCTTTAATTCCTAATTAACAATTAATAATTTCGAGCATATAGAAAGCAAATGCATGCATCTGTTTGTTGGAGTGAATTATAATGGTTTGCATGAAAACGAAGACTTCATTAGCAAATAAGTTTCGAATTTAGTTGTTATGAAATATTAATCCATCTTAGCGATGATTATTTTTAAATACAGATTTTCTGAATTCACAATTATGACTTTCACGTTCTATATGAATTGATTGCTAGTCATATAAACATCATATATTTTCACATATACAAATTTAAAATCAATATTTCGCAAGTTTGAAAAATGGTTAATGTACGTATATTTAGTCCATTTGTAGACGTTCCAAATTAATTGCTAAAATAAAAAAAATGTTTCAAAATTATTATTTATGGGAAACGGACGGTTTAATATTTTTTTAAATAATATGTACACATATATTCGAACAAATAGTTCCAGAAAACAAAAAACTGATCTATATATAAATATGTTTTTATATGTCAGAAAGTAATCTAAAAAACAGAAAACTGGTCTATATTCAATCGAAGTCTTGATATTTTAACAAAACCAAAAAAATATGAGAAATCCAAGAATGCGCCTAAGTTTTTTTTTTTTTTTTTTTGGAAATTGTGCCAATTTCCTCAAGGAATCCAGAAAGATTTCCTGTAGTTACGAGACTAAGCATGCAGAGGCTGGGATTTTCATTTCATTTTATATGATTGCATTAGCATCCTCTATTTTCCATGTGTAGTGACAACACTCACCTCCAAACAGGGCCTGGGGAACGCTCTTCACATAACACGAAAAAAGAAGCAAAAAATATCGATCCTTCACAATGTGAGTGGGATCGTAAAGCCTCACAGGTAAATTCCTAGTAATTGATTGTTTCCAAATAATTTATGTGATATAAGTTAACCTTATCTGTTGTTTTCAGAATGACATTGCTTTTAGGTCCTCCTGGCTCAGGAAAGACATCACTACTGATGGCCTTAGCAGGAACACTCCCATCAACTGTAAAGGTACATCTTTCATGCTTTCCTATGTAGTATGTGGCTCACCTATATATAGGGCTGTTTGAAGTACTGATATGATGAAACACTGCAACTACAAAAGGTATCAGGGACTATAACTTATAATGGTCATACAATGGATGAATTTGTGCCCCAAAGATCAGCAGCTTATGTTAGCCAACATGATTTACATATGGCCGAACTAACGGTTCGTGAGACGGTCAGTTTCTCTGCAAAGTGTCAAGGAGTTGGCCATCACTATGGTAAGATATGGAAATGGCGAGTTTGAGACTCATTAATCATAAATGTCATATCAGATCAAAATATTAACATTTTTTTACAAAATGTTCAGATATGCTAATGGAACTATTGAGAAGAGAAAAGGAAGAAAACATCAAACCAGATCCAGAGATTGATTTATATTTGAAGGTACGATGCAATTCATAAATCGCAACTCACCTCAACCAGAGTTGAGTTATGCTTAGTTGTTTTTAAGCATCTATTGATGTTCTGACATAAGATTTCATGAGGAACATTAATTTCTCATTTTGCATATGCAAGCTGCTACAACAGGAGAGCAGAAAGCCGAGGTGGTCACAAATCACATACTAAAGGTGAATGAGCATTATGTACTTGTATTGAAATGTTTTTTAATTTACAATAAATTCATAGTTGAAAATTGCAAGTCATTCCCATGTAATTTGACATGTACGCGCCATAATAATTCTTTACTTTGTTTTTAACCATTGAAGATCTTAGGATTGGATATATGTGCTGACACAATTGTAGGAAATAATATGGTGAGAGGTATATCAGGAGGGCAAAAAAAGCGACTAACTACAGGTAATTTATTATTGGAGTTAATAAATTGGCATATGGTGACAAAAGCTAATCCACCTCCTAATATTGACGCTACAGCGGAGATGCTGGTAACACCAGGACGAGCACTTTTCATGGATGAGATATTAACTGGACTTGATAGCTCGACAACATTCCAGATTGTGAACTCCATCCGACAGACTGTTCACATTCTTGGTGGAACGACAATTATTGCATTGCTACAGCCTGCGCCCGAGACATATGAATTGTTTGATGAAATAATTATCCTCTCAGATGGTCAAGTTGTCTACAATGGCCCTCGTGATCATGTGCTTGAGTTCTTTCAATCAATTGGATTCAAATGCCCTGAGCGAAAAGGTGTCGCTGACTTCTTACAGGAAGTTAGTTTCCTCACTGATTTCCATCATGATAGAATCATAGGATTAAATTTGATCTGAATGCTTAAGTCTGACTTATTATATGTGAAATGTGATAGGTTACATCAAGGAAAGATCAGAAACAATACTGGACACATGGTGATTCTACATACCGATATATTTCTGCTGCAGAGATTGCTGAGGCATTTCAGTCTTTTCATGTCGGTCAAGCAGTAAGAACTGAGTTGGTAGTCCCATTTGGCAAGGGCAAGAGCCATCCTGCTGCGCTGAGAACATCAAAGTATGGTGTTAGCATGAAAGAACTACTTCAAGCTAACATTGACAGGGAAATATTACTCATGAAAAGAAACTCATTCCTCTATATATTCCAGGCAATTAGGGTGATTCTCTGAAACCAGCACATCTTCCATTGTTTACCAGCACAATAACCTATAAAATTTAAATGATCAAAAGTTAATTTGGCCTCTTATTATGTTTTCTCTGAAATGTTCAGTTAACAGTCATGGCAATAAATACAATGACTGTCTTTATGCGTACCAATATGCATCGTGACTCCATAGAAAATGGGAGGATATACATGGGAGCACAGTTCTATGGCATGTTGATGATCATGTTCAATGGGTTGGCAGAAATGGGCCTAGCTATTGCAAAGCTCCCGGTTTTCTTCAAGCAACGGGATCTATTCTTCTATCCAGCTTGGACGTATTCCTTGCCATCATGGATCCTTAAGACCCCTATCTCCTTCCTCAATACGATTGTTTGGGTCTTCCTAACATACTATGTTATTGGATTTGACCCAAATATAGAGAGGTAAGGAAAACGAAATTCTAACTAGCTTCAATAAACTCATGTTAAATAAAAGATTAATAAAAACAAAGAAAATGATGCAGATTTTTTAGACAATTCCTAGCGCTTTTTGTTATGTCTGAGGCAACATCTGGACTTTTCCGCTTCATTGCTTCCCTTACAAGGGATCCGGTTGTGGCAAGTACTATGGGCTCATCCTGCATATTAATTTCTATGCTTTCAAGTGGATTCATCCTATCAAGAGGTACGCAAACTATCTATGAAACACCACAATGATATGTGGATAAGTTCTTACATAATTTCTTTATTGGATGTGGTACTTTTATGAATATAATTTGTTTTATGTTTAACAGAGGAAATTAAGAAATGGTGGATATGGGGTTACTGGATATCACCCCTTATGTATGCACTGAACACATTGGCAGTTAATGAATTCCTAGGTAACAGCTGGAACAAGGTAAAAGCATATTTATGCGATCAATTAAAAGCCATACATCAGAATATGTCTCGCTAAAACATTTGCTTATCATCACACAATAGACAATATCTGGTTTTAGCGAACCACTTGGAAGGCTAGTTCTGGAATCTCGTGGGTTTTTTCCTGAGGCCAAATGGTATTGGATTGGTGTTGGTGCCTTGCTCGGATATGTGATTCTATTAAATGTCCTCTACACCATCTGTCTCATATTTCTCACATGTGAGTCATAGAAAATCTTGAATCTTTTATTGTTAGTAAATAATGCTATTATTCTAAAAGATCTACAAATTCTAATTTTATTGCACCATGTACTCTGTAGTATTGAACAACAACCAGCCAATAATGTCCCAGGAAACTTTCCATAAAAAGCAAGCTAATATCACTGGTCAAGTTTTGGAAGCACCGTCTGGAGAGCAGGCTACTGACAATACAAGATGTAAATATTTTTTTGGACCACTAATCTAAAGTTTAAACATGAGATGTCAGTTTATTGCTGATGTGCGTGTGGTATGTGTACCAGGTACTGTGGACGTTAACAACGATGAGGCAACTTCAAACCACATGATAGGGAATTCTAGTTCAGGAATTAAAGGAATGGTCCTTCCATTTGTACCTCTTTCCATCACGTTTGAAGATATAAAATACAGTATAGACATGCCAGAGGTACCCCAAATATTGCCAAGTCTACCAGACATGCATGTTCCATATGGAAAATTGCATCTATTTGTACCATTTATGAGCAATCTTTGAAAAAAAATAGTCTTGACCAAACAAAACTTGTAGGCACTGAAAACACAAGCTACAGAGAGCCGGTTGGAACTACTGAAGGATATTAGTGGCTCTTTTAGGCCAGGAGTACTTACAGCTCTTATGGGTGTCAGCGGTGCAGGAAAGACAACACTATTAGATGTGTTGGCTGGAAGGAAGACTAGTGGATACATAGAGGGCAATATTACCATCTCTGGCTACCCAAAGAAGCAAGAAACCTTTGCTAGAGTTTCAGGATATTGTGAACAGAATGACATCCATTCACCAAATGTAACTATTTATGAGTCCCTTATGTTCTCTGCATGGCTCAGATTACCTACTAAAATTGATTCTGCAACAAGAAAGGTCAGATAAAGAAAATACTTTCACTTTATTCAAATACAGAGTAGTGCATAAAAAAGAAAATGTTGTCTGAACTGATATAGAATGCTATAAATGAAAAATAAAATTGACATGAATATTCATAGCAATGAATTTTTTTATTTCATGGCAGTGTATTTAACATGAATATTCATGTATTCTTTTACATGTTATCCAGATTGTTTTTTTAATCTTTTTTTAGATAATGTTATTTTTTTATCTTATATGCAGATGATTATTGAGGAGGTCATGGAGCTCGTGGAGCTTTATCCCTTAAAAGATGCTTTGGTTGGATTGCCTGGCGTAAGCGGATTATCAATTGAACAAAGAAAAAGGCTAACAATAGCAGTGGAACTAGTTGCAAACCCATCTATCATTTTCCTAGACGAACCAACATCTGGACTTGACGCACGAGCAGCAGCCATTGTCATGAGGGCAATTAGGAATACTGTGGACACAGGAAGAACAGTTGTTTGCACAATTCACCAGCCAAGCATTGATATATTTGAATCCTTTGATGAGGTGAATGAAATCATACTTGTATAGTCCATTTTTTTCTATCATGCAGACATAGACAAAAGGAAAAGTAAATTGTTGGTGGGTTATAACATCGTTTGCTGATCCACTCAATTCATTATAATGTTGTTAATATTTGCAGCTTTTCCTAATGAAACGAGGAGGCGAAGAGATTTATGTCGGTCCACTAGGACAACATTCATGTGAATTGATTAGATATTTTGAGGTTAGAAAAAAGAATAGAAAGTAATATATGCTTGCCTTATTGCATTGAGAAACATGCTATTGAATCGCTTTTATTTTCTGAAGGCTATTGAAGGTGTCAGCAAGATAAAACATGGCTACAATCCTTCAACATGGATGTTGGAAGTGACTAGCCCAATGCAAGAACAAAAAACTGGCGTAAACTTCACTCAAGTTTACAAGAATTCTGAACTATACAGGTAACTATATATTGGGTTGTCCTCAGGGGCGGATCCAGGAAAAAATAGTAGTGGGGGCTGAACAAATTACGCCAGCATAAATCGAAACATGTCTCACATGTAAATTGGCTAAATGTCAGTTCAAGGTACACATTGAATTAATGATATGTCGAGAATTTTGTCCATACCAAACCAATATCGAATAGATGACGTGTCACACCCAATCGTCTATTATTCTTCATGAGTAGTAATTTATACAAAGAAAAAGGCAAATTAACGAATAATCGAAACATACTTATTTTGGATTCAAATAATTTAGAGATTTAGGGAGGAATGGAGGCATAGAGCATACCACTAATTTCTGTTGAGGTAATAACATCTGACGCGCTTTCATATCTTCAAATTGTTGGATGATTTTTTCATCCGATTGAAAAAACCCTGACTTGGGTTTCTTTGGCTAACTTAAACACTCATTACTGGATGGAGGATCACTTTACTGGATGGAGGATCACTGCCATTTGTGTTGCTTAAACTAAAATAATACGTGAGCAATGTTTTTTTTGACATGTTGACAATCTAAAAATGTATAGAAAATAATTATAAGTTTCAAGCACAAGTGCACAACCTCATTAAGACACAATTTTAGACTATCTATTAGTATTAGAGGTTACTAGTTTACCGATTTCTAACTTCAAATCTTCAATCACAGTCACAGTAGGCTGCGACTGCGTCGTTGACTCGTTGCTGCCTTGCCGGCCACTGTGCCGCTGACCTGCTGCCTGCCTGCCTCGGCGCCTTGCGCCCTCGCGGCACCTCGCCAGCGAGCGGCTCGCCACCTTCCCGGCGGCGTGGCGGCGCAGGCACTGGAGTGCTGGACCACCGCCTCCGCCTGGCCTGCCTCCTGTCTGGCCCATCGCCGGCTCACTGGACGCCGCCACGGCACCTTGCCGCTTGGCGCTCGCCAGCTTGCAGGCTTGCAGCTCACCGGAGGTCGCCACCTGCTCCGGGCATGCACTGGACCACCGGGGCACCGCCTGGCACGCCTCCCGTCTGGCCCCTCGCCGGACGCCACCGCCTGCTCGGCCGCCGCCCGCCGCCCGCGCCTATTCGCCTAGGGTTAGGGATTTAGGAGAGGAGGAGGTGGCCAGTGGGATTGGGGAATTGGGGAGGCGGGAGGCCGGGAGGGGGAGTAGCCAAATGGGCTGGCTGGAATCTGCCACCGTGGGCCTTTGCTTGGAGTGGGCTAGACAAAACTTGAAGACTGCGCTCGTGGTCGTGGGCTGCTCTTCGAAACAAGCCCAAATCGCGAAATAACATCGTCTTCAACCTCCAGCCTTCCCTCCAGCCAACCTGACGAAGCTCCAGCCACCACATCTCGTGAAAAATTTTAGTGGGGGCTTAGGGGGGTCTCCATGGACCCTGGGGCGGTAGTGGGGTCTCAAGACCCCCCCGCCCCCATGGCAAATCCGCCCCTGGTTGTCCTTCAGTTAATATAGTTTGATCATGGAACTATAATGGTTGCCCCACTAACATAACACCTAAGATCAAAGCGAACTTTACTCCATGCACCAAATGACTGGCTCCATAACGCTATAAGTGAGAAGTGTGTCCAAGTTGGTGGCATATGCAAAATATTATGTTCTATACTAAGATATGAAAAACACAAATACAACATTCCAAAAGGACAATAATGTAATTTTTTTATTTTCCATTTGTAATAACTAGACAAGGTAACAGCAAATGAAAAAAAATTGAAATGCAGATAATCCTGAAATCATAATATTGAATTGGATATGCTTCAAGTTATCACCAAGTGCCACAATTTTTCAATTTTATGAAGAAGGCAATAGGAAATGTTATCATTTGACCATGTCGGTACTTTGCTTTCATTACAGAAGGAACAAAAATTTGATAAAGGAGTTAAGCACGCCCCATGAAAGTTCAAGCGACTTATCATTTCCAACTCAATATTCACAGCCCTTTCTTACACAATGTTTGGCTTGCCTCTGGAAGCAACGTCTGTCATACTGGCGTAATCCTCGATATATTGCTGTGAAATACTTCTTCACCATTATAGTTGCATTGTTGTTTGGAACAATGTTCTGGGGTATTGGCCAAAAAAGGTAACAAAGTAATATAAAAACCACAAGAAAATAGTGCGTATACAATCTTTTACATATTCAAAGGCTGCCTCTAGTTCATCTATTGCCATTTACTAGATATATTCCACTGTTGCAGGAATAATAAACAGGCCTTGTTCAGCGCCATGGGTTCCATGTATTCTACATGTTTGACCATGGGAGTACAAAACTCTGCTTCAGTTCAACCAATTGTCTCTATTGAGCGCACAGTCTTTTATAGAGAAAGAGCATCGCACATGTACTCCCCTTTGCCATATGCCTTGGGACAGGTTAAATTCTTCGACATATGAGTCTCTTATAATGTTGTAAGATACTACTCAATTTCATCAGCAATCCCCTCAGTATGGGGAAACTAATGGCCAGACAATAAGCCCTATTAACATATAGTTCCATTGCAGGTTGCAATTGAACTTCCGTACATCTTCCTTCAGACCATAATATATGGCATGCTAGTGTATGCAATGATAGGATATGAGTGGTCAGGTGCCAAATTCTTTTGGTACCTTTTCTTCATGTACTTCACTTTGTCATACTACACATTTTACGGCATGATGGCGGTGGGTCTAACTCCAAATTACAACATGTCCACTGTTGTTTCCACAGGATTTTATACCATGTGGAACCTTTTCTCAGGATTTCTAATACCGTTAACTGTAAGTGAACCAGCTTTTCAAAAATATCTAGCCAAATTATCTTAAAGCCATTGATTTTCCTAATATGGCTCTTTTTATCTACAGAGAATTCCTATATGGTGGAGATGGTACTATTGGATATGCCCGGTTGCATGGACGCTCAATGGGTTGGTTACCTCACAGTTTGGGGATGTATCAGACAAGTTTGATGATGGAGAGCGTGTATCTGACTTTGTCAAGAACTACTTTGGTTTCCATCATGAGTTATTGTGGGTCCCGGCTATGGTAGTTGTCTCATTTGCTGTTCTTTTTGCCTTCCTTTTTGGACTCTCACTCAGGCTATTCAATTTCCAAAAGCGATAACTAACAAAGGCATACCTGAGTTTCAGAGTTTTAACAGAGCCTGGTTAGCAGAAATGTTACTATAGGAGGTACCTGCAATAGTTTTATGGTATGTAGGTTGTCAGTCATGCAGGTTGTATAATTTAGCTTGCAAACTGACTGTGTTCTCAAGAAATTGAAAGCTATTTTGCAAACAGACATACTGTACACAAAGATAAGGGGCTGCTGATCCGCGGCTAGTCGTGTGGCCGCGCATGCGCGCGATCAGCTGCCCCCTAGTCTCTCTAGCTTCTCTTATATACTAGTGTACATACGTATGTATATACTATATACATACGTATAAATTTTGTATACGTAAATACAACATTTATACGTATGTATATTGTATATACAATATACATGCGCACTTCAATGTATAAAAATATACATATGTACATAGAGTTTGTGTTCGTACATATAAAAAGTCTAAAAAATACACTTATACAAAGTTTATATGTCTACATATACAAAGTTTTATAAATACGTATTAAAAAAGCGAAAATACTAAAAAGATACGGAAAGACGAAACAGAAAAAAACAAAAAAAAAGGAAACCGTAAGCTGCAAAAAATACGGAAAGAAAAAACAGAAAAAACAAAAAAGATACCGAGAGCGCCGGAAAAAAAAGAAAGCGTCGAAAAAGAAAAAAAGAAACCGCGCCGTCAGCTGCCCTCCTCTCCGCACGCAACGCGACCAGTCGCGACTTAGCCTTCTCGCACAAAGATAGATGTAAAATACCACACGATGTCACTACTACGAAAATGACTTTTCCGTGCGGTCAAAAAGTGTTTTTCCGTGCAGAGGTCTTGCCCGTCTGCACCCCCAGGTGCCTAGGAAAATAAATATTTTCGCGTGCGGGCGGCCCAACTGCACGGAAAAATACATCTTCCCGTGCGGTCGTGTTAAGTGGACCGCACGGGATAATCGATTATCTCATGCAGTCCATTTGTACCGACCACACGCGAAAACAAAAATCCACCAAAAAAATAGTCGTTGCCGTCGCCGCCATCGCAAACCCTAGTTGCCACCGCCACAGCTCGTCGCCGTCGTTGCCGTCGCTGTAGCTTGTCGTCATCCTTGCAGTCGCCACCCCCGGATCCGCGTGGGGAGGGGCACCAAAGCCGGATACTATGGGCGGAGGGCGGAAGGGGCGCTGCCACTAGATCCGAACGACGGAGGGGCGCCGCTGCGCGGGAGGGCCGGGGGGGCGGACGCGCTGCCGCCGTCTGCCTCCGCTCCTAGCCACCTCCTCCTCCTCGTCGGCGGGGGTGGCGCGGATTCGTGGGGCCAAAGGCGCCGCTCCCAGGCACCTCATCGTCGGCGGAGGCGGCGAGGCGGAGCCACCTCCTCGTCGTCCCGTCGCCCGCTGCCGAGCCACTCGCCTGCCGCCGCGACACTTGAGAGGAGAGGAGAGAAAGTGAGAGGAGAGGTGAGAATAAGGATGAGGAGGTGAGAGAGTTGGAGGGAGGATAAGTATGGAATTTTTGAAGTGTTGAGAGGGAAAAAGGAGGGAGGGTATTTTCCTGTGCGATGCTCTTAAGAAGCCCGCATGCGTGCTGTCCTCTTAAGGGTTCGTACGTAAAAATGGGAGAACGATATTCACGTGCGGTGGCTGTTAGAGTTTGTGTCGAATATGTGTACGTAGTCGGTTACAGTTTAGGACTTGGAGTTCTACTAGGTATAGAGAGGCGTACCTGTTGTAACCGCATGGCGACTTACCATAGCGAGAGGGAGCTGCTACCGGCGGCAACCGACCGTGAGTCATTAGAACTCTGATACGCTGTAATATGTTGGATCAGGGACGAGCGCCCGTAATCAGTGCCCCGGATATGTAGGTGTTGACGGTCATTATTGATCAGTTTCAACCATCAATATTACCAAAATAGAGGAGAACTAGTGATGCTTGCAATGCATAAATATGTTAGAATAATAATATTCCACTAGTATTAGGTGTACTAACCTTTTGCAGAGAATGACAATAAAGTGGAGGAGAATCGACATCAACTCAGACGATAAATCAATTGGATGATGTCGAGAACCAGACTTATGTATGAATAGGCCAAGAACTCAGAATTGACACGATGAATTGGGCCAAAATTCACAAGTCTGCGGAGTGGAGAAGTTCAGGAGGCCACCTGCCGATTTTGGGCCAGGATGGGCCGGCCCTGGTTCGGCCGAACCTCCCCTGGCGCCGTTGGATCCAGGTTCTGGCTGGACGGCGTGGATCACTCCCCAATGACGGTTGGAAGGCAATTCCGACCATTCCAACTGCCACAACCGTCATTGGCAGCCTATATAAGGACTTCACTCTCTTCAATTCAACACACACCTCAAGCAATAGCTCTCTCATTTCTCTCAAGTTTAGTTTAGTAGTATCTAGCTGGTGGAATTGGAATAGAGTAGAAATCAGGAGTCCGGAAGCCTTTGGAAGAGTTCGGGTATGGCTGTAGTAGCTTTTCTCTTCTCTTTTGTAAGCTTTGTACTTTTATTGGAATACTCTTCTATATACATTTATGGTATTGAAATAGTTTCCGAGTATATGAGTACCTACTTTATATTATGTTCATGTTATACTGAATATACGACTAGCTTATCTGGGAGATGCTTTGGTGCGGGTATAATGTTTGCTTATGCAATTACTCTATGTCATGACGATGATATTAGAGTAGTATCTGGTAGTTTAGACGTGGTGTCTAGATTATGGGATATCATTATTTGGGGTTATATATTGTGGATGAGAAGTGGGCCGCTAATGGTGACAGCTCAGTACGGTATTCCTCCGCGCCGGTATATAATCCTAAATTAATTCCCTGGGGAGGGTATTCCTCCATATTTAGCCCCTGTTGTATGGTCATGACGGGCTGTCGTAAGGAACTCGGCAGTCAGGGGTGGCTTCTCGAAGTACCAGGAGGGCATCGGATAGAGGGTATTAGCTAGTATATCAGTTAACTAGAATGTATGTATACTATGTATATTAGAAGTATAGGAATAGATTTTCTTTCTCTTTTCTTTCGACTTAGCTTAGATGATATATTATGAGAATGATTAGTTAATGCTTGTGTGTCACTCTACCCTTGGATTACCTTAACCCATGCTTAGAATATGATTATCACAAGTAATATATAAATTATTAGTCAAGTTTTCTCTACATGATCTTCCCACGGGATAAAATAAATACGATACCCTTAAAATACTCTTGGGTGAAATGCTATAATGGTATATCCGTGCGCTTGCGGATGAACTCTGTAACCATAATATACCAGAAGTATTTATGTGCCATTGCTGGGAATTATATTTCTAGTAATGTCATTAAGAAATACCAACAAGCATTTCTGGCGCCGTTGCCGGGGAAGATTCATAATAGAGATTACTTGAACTAAAACTTTATATTTACCTCTGTGTAATCATTTTCCTTTGCAGGCTAACCTTGGTTGTTTTTACTTTTGTTGTGAGAACAGAGTAGTACATGACTGGTTTCAACCTGCCGGAAGCTGTCTTTCGGAGCGTCAGACCACGAGTCGTTGCTCCGCAGAAAACTCTACCAACAGAGAAACCAGCCATACCAGCGCCACCGACCTTCAAGACTATGGCGAGCAAGACTCTTCGCAAGTTCGCTGCTCCCTCTACTAACAATGTGGCCATTGGGCCGCAGGTCAACATTGGGGGTATGGATTTCAACTTGAAGTCCAGCCTCATTACGATGACGCCGGCTAGCCCGTTCTGTGGCAAGCCTAATGAGGATGCCAATGCTCATCTGCAACAGTTCCTGGAGATCTGTAGCACGTACACCATCAAGGGCGTCAGTCCCGACGCTATCAGGCCACGACTGTTTCTGTTCTCCCTTCTCGGGAAAGCAAAGTAGTGGTTTTATGCCAACCGTGCTGCTGTCAATACCTGGGACAAATGCTTGATGGCATTCCTCTCAAAATTCTTCCCGATGGGCAAAACCAATGCCCTTTATGGAAGGATTTCAAGTTTCTAGCAGATAAGGGATGAGTCTATTCCGAAAGCATGGGAACAACTGCAGGAGTACGTGGCCGCCTGTCCTCATCATGGGATGGACGACTGGCTAATCCTGCAGAATTTTTACAATGGACTCACCCCGGTGTCCCACGATCACTTGGACACGGTAGCTAGAAGAGCCTTCTTGTCTAAAACGGTTCAAGGAGCCATTGAACTAATAGAGAAGATAGTCTCCAATATGGGTTGGAGCGAGGAACGACTCCAATATGCGCTAAGCAAAAAGCTTGCTGCCAATGATAAGATCCTAGAAAACATTAATGTCAAGTTAGATGGCTTCACTTCTGCTTTTCAAAACCAGCTGAGCTTCAATCAAATGATAGAGACCCAGTTAGCTCAGTTGGCATCCTTAGTCCCTGCAAATGATACTGGGAGGATTCCGGGGCAACCTAACTCCTCCGTTGAAAATGTTAAGGCGATCACGACAAGGGGAGGTAAGTCCACTCGTGATCCGCCATATCCTAACCCTGTAGGAACTAATGGGATATCAAAAGAAGCGCCATCTAATGACTCGGCTAACAAGGAAGTTCAGCTAGAAAAGACCGTGCCGCAGGAGTACTGCGACACACGGTTGCTGTCGTTTCCTCAACGGAGTAGGAAACCGTCAATGGATGAGCAATTCGCTCGTTTTGTTGAAGTAATCCAAAAGATCCACATCAACGTGCCATTGTTGGACGCTACGCAAGTGCCAACATACGCCCGTTATCTCAAGGACATACTCAACAACAAGAAACCGCTCCCAACAACGGATGTGGTCAAGCTGACGGAAAAATGCAGCAACCTGATACTCCACAAGCTCCCGGAGAAGAAGAAAGATCCAGGGTGTCCTACGATCACCAGCTCGATCGGGGCACAACAGTTCGACCAGGCCTTGTGCGACCTTCGAGCCAGTGTCAGCGTCATGCCAAAAGACGTCTTCGACAAGCTCAACTTCACGGTGTTGGCACCAACACTGATGCGCCT